AGAGAGAGAGAGAGAGAGAGAGAGAGAGAGAGAGAGAGAGAGAGAGAATACACAGCAGGCGGGGGAGAGAACAAACTTGAAAGAGACTGAGAGGCCAGAGAGAGCTTGGCAAACCAACCTTTGGCATGGTGACCAGGCGGAAGGTTCTGGTAGGAGTTTACTCGCTGAAATGCTGCCTAGAGTCAGCCAGTGTGCTGCTGCCCTCTACAGGTACGAGGGGATAATGCAAGCTACATAGGCTTGTACAGACGTGTCCTCAGATGTGCTGTGCTTATACAATCCTTTATACAAAGGCATTTATACAAAGAAGGCATTTTCAGTTAATTACAAGAGAGCCTCTTTCCTCCTTAATAAACCTCAAACTGCAAAAAAAAAAAAAAAATGGGTCATAGAACAGCACCTGTGCATGTCAGCCAGACTGGCATTATATGTTGATATTTCTTGACTTCAGAGAAAGGAGTCCCAAAGAATTGTGATGAAAGAGGCTAGGATGGGAGAGGAAATGCTCCGCCGGACATTATGCAGTGCTTTTTCCTGTGTAGTTGGGGAACAGTCGATGGTGAAAGCATAAATAAAGTGCTATTAAGCAAATGAGGGAAGAGGAGCCAGGTAGGCTGGTTTTAAATATGTTTTACCTGCACAGCTGCAAACAATGCTCCTGTGCCATGGTCAGCCTCCAAAGGTGGACATAAGGTGGTAGACGAAATAGCAGGCAGGTATCAAAATCTAATCAGGACAAGAAGCAAGGGCATAAGCTGGGCGATTTTTCCAGGGTTAGAGTCATTGGCTGGCTTGGCGGTGCACTGGTGGAAGAGAGCACCTTAGCTCTGAACTACGTGTCTGAAACTAGCTCAGGCCTGTCTCTAAGTCCTAGAGGTCATTTTCTTTTCTGCCGTCACATGATAATGGTCATTGGTATTTTGTCCCTATATTTAGATGAATTGCAAGGACCAGCCACTCTTATTAAATATTATTTATATAATCAACGAAAAAGCAACCAATCCAGGTTGATTCCACTGCTGCATAAAAAACTAGGAAGCTGAATTGAGATTCAGACTGGGACTAGTCTCCAAATGTACTTGAATTTCAGCTCTGTTTAATTCCATCAGCAAATGCCTCTTAAATGGCTGTTGTGTCTAAGTTGCCCTGGTTCATAGTATAGTATAGAATAGACAGTAAACCCTGGGAGGACAGGACCCAGACCGCTCAGCCTGTGTGGCACATCACAGCCACACAGTATTTGTAAAACGAATGTGCAAATGAGGGGAGGAGCAGAAAGGCAGAATGAAAAACTGGATGAACAACAGAACTATAACAACAACTAAGACATTCCACTTCCTACAGAAAGATTATTCTCTCCTAGAAGTAACAAAACACACCTAACCATTATTGAAATAAGACTTAGTGAGTAAAGGAAGAAGAGTGCAGCTCCCGAGGAGTTTCAGAATGCTATGGAGAAGAGTCATCCTGTCTGAAAGAGGGGAATCACAACAGTATAACATGCAGGCAGCATTTAGTAAGTGTGAAGGGTACGTCTCATTTTATCAGGCAGAGATGAGAAAAGGCTATTCAAAGCAAGAACAGTACTAAGGAAAGGTGAAGAGCCAAGAATGTGCTTTCCAGAGCTCTGGAAATGATAAACGAACTCCAAGTGGCCAATATATGAGGCCCATGAGACAACGTAGGACAGATTAGAAAGAAAAAAAAAACTGACCTCAAATGCCAGGCTAATGTGTTCCTGTGGGATTTAGTGAGTGGAAAGCAGCAGGACTAGGGTCATAGAGGATGGAGAGCAAGTTAGTGAACAGCTATGAAGAAGAAAGTGATGAGGCAGCTGCCTGGAGAAGCAGCAGAGCGGTGAGGACTGCAGGGTAAGGTGGTCATTGGACAGAGAAAGGGGCGCAGTGCAGCTGGGGTCTCCAGCCCGACATCAGAGCACGCTGCTGGAAATAGAGACCTCAGAGGAAGCACTGGTTCTCCCAGGAGAAACAAAGGCTGGGGAGGGGGAGTTTAACACTGGAGACTTTCATCTTGGATTCTTTCTTATTCTGAAAACCAGAAGAGCAGATTCTTGGGGGTCCAGGTAGGCACACGAGTTGAGGGTTAGCCCCAGAGTCACCCATTCAGTAATGGACAAGACATTGTAGCTTGGTTCTATTATGTTGGCTTTCTCTACACTGAGAAATATATCTGAAAGCGCCTCCCCACACACACACTCTGATCTTTACCATGCTATTTCTGCCTCGTGCCCTCTGAAGAAACAGATTTGATTTCACAACCTGTTGGACTAAAAACACAGCATACTAATCATAACACCATATTCTGCGAGGGCAGAGCTGACTACCCAGTACAACACATTTCAATAGGAAATATTCTGTATACAAGTCCAATGCCATGCTCATGGAAACAAGGAGAACGTGAAAACACAGTGACTTACAACAGACTATGTACCACACAGAATCTATCCAAAAAGAAAAAAAAAAAAAAAAGCCATGCTCCGTGGTTACATAGTGACAGAAGAAGACACAAAGCCACAGAAACTGGGGATGTGTTCAGGGAAAAACTCATCCCTTTTTGGGGACCTGGGGATATAAATGTGCTATAAATGCTGATTTGTTTAGTTACCACCAATTGCATTGTCATAGGGAAAGGAGTCCTGAGCTGACTGAAAGCTGCATTATTTCACACCCTGTTCCTGGCTAAATAACGACACCATCTTTCTACTCCCTATCAGCAGTCTCTTTTTCACAAGGCAAATACCAGTCATGTTCCTAAACTCCGGGAGCCTATACTAAACCAAAGAGCAAAGAGAAGCTTAAGGCTGGGATGAATAAAGAGAAGAGTGGCCAGTCCAGTATGTTCGTGACACCTTCCCTCTTTGCCTCCTGGAACCAACTGTCTTCTTAGTTGCTTTTTACTTCCTACTGCTCTACTTTACTGCCACTGCCTCTTTCCTGCTACAGCCTGCAGACTGCGGTTGGGATTTGAAATTCTGTGTTGATTTCAAGTAAAACTAATGGTAACAGGAAACTGGAATACTCCAAGAACAGAGACTTAAAGGCAGAAGGAACCTGTAGGGCCTTCTAATCCAAGCCCTTTATTTTGCAGATGAGGAAACTGAAGCCCAGAGAGGTGAAGTGAGGTGCCCAAAGCCACACAGCAAGTTGCAGGCACAGCTAGTTCCGTAGCTCAAGTCTCCTGACTCCCAGTCCAGTGCTCTTCCCATTACTCCACGGGTCCTGTCTCTAAGCTTCCTGACAAATGCTAGAACGGTAAACCTCCACTAGTATTTTTCCAGACCATGTTAAAACTCTTTAAGGGGGGAAAGGATGCTTTCTTGGATAATGTCAGCCATACGTAGCTCAAGCTGTCTAAAGTTCTGGGACAGGGTCTTTTTATACAGCCAACAGAGTCCAAATGTGGTGCTGTTTGCTTGGCCCATATGCTTTCATGTGTTCCCAGTTAGGCCATTACTGGAGGGAAAAAAACAAGAATCAGCTTGTTTTAAAACAAGGGACATGCTGGACTCCCTCCCATCCCCCTTCAGAAAAAAAAAAATCAAGTTATCTTTAACAGATTCTAAAAATGCCTTTTCCCAAATATGCAGTCAGTTCCTTCAAAGGGCCCTTTGTTTATTCTCAGGAAGAAACCCAAGACAGCTGAAAACCAGAAGGCATCTGAGGAGAATGAGATTACTCAGCCGGGTGGATCCAGCGCCAAGCCGGGCCTTCCCTGCCTGAACTTTGAAGCTGTTTTGTCTCCAGACCCAGCCCTCATCCACTCAACACATTCACTGACAAACTCTCACGCTCACACCGGGTCGTCTGATTGTGAGTACACCAGTGAGGTGATGGTGTCTTCCCAGTGCTTGGTGTGGTGCTTCTCCCCCACCCCCACCCCAGGGTTCTGGCTGTTTTCATTCAGAGCAAGCTGTTTGCATTTCGTCTTCCAAAGTAGCCAAAAGTAGCATGCCACCATTTTGAGCCAACCACCGTCTATATATTGTCAAAGCCAGAGTATATTTCAAAGCCAGGTAACCAGCCATTTGGCTTCAAAATGCTGATTAATTACATGGGCCTCATTCCCTTCCATGACATTAACTCACAAAAAGAAATGATATTGCTGCTCTCTGGTTGCTCTTGCTCTCAGTTATAGCACTTCGAGCGTTACTAAATGGAATAACCAAATATGGACCTCAGCAGGCCAGTGAGATGCAAGGAAACAGCCATTTCCAAATTACATAACCCAAGTCAGATTTGCATTAGTTATTGGAGTCTCATGTAGCTTGGCTGAATTTCGGTCTTTCCAGTTTTTAATTTATTTTGAAGTGGTTAAAGGATAGCATACATTTACAGAAGAGAAAAAGAATGGTTTCCAAGAATTCAAAAGCCACCCAGACTTTGCATAGCCAATAAGAATGCAGGTTAAAAATATTTTTTAATTAAAAAAACTGCCTACGGGCTAAATTTGGAAATGGGCACTTAATGAGAATCGTCACTATTGAAATCATTTCTTTGCTGTTTATTTTTGCCATCTTCTCACTAATCTACAAGTCACTTCTTAAATTCTATTTTAAGAAAGTTGATAAATCACGTTAGAAGGCTGTTTTTCGTTTCTCAAGTGTAACCCAGTACTTGAGAGAGGAACACATGTGTTGACAATACCAAACCGAAAAAGTATTCCTTTTAGCTGCAAGATTCCCAACAACTCTTATGAACTGATCTCTCCACAGGACGTCTGGTTACAGGCAGAGAGTTGGCATAATGGAATGAGTTAAATATACCAAGAAAGCTTTATTCCCCAAAAGGACTCCATTTATCCTGTTCCTCAAAGGCAAAATTAAAAAAAAAAAAAAAATCTCCATTAGGAAATGAGATTCCAAATCTCTTGCTGTTATTTTTCTTGCAGAACAAATGTAAAATACTACAAGGAGGACAAAGGGTGAGTGAGTCCGGGGGATTCCCTCCCCCACTCACTTTATCATCATAGCCTCTAGACAAGGGATGTGAGCTGGGGTAGGGTCTGGGCTGCAGCCGCACTCCAACTGTCACTAGAAAATAGAAAATGAGCTCTAAGTCACTAAGACCCACGTGATCCGTACAGTCAAACTAGCAGCTTCTATTTAGACATAGGGGACAGAAGCAGGGACTTTATTCCCTGGACCATCATCATAGTCACATCCTTGGACTTTCATGCCTGGAAGTCTCTGGCCTAATAGTAATTACAGGAAGAACTTGAAAATAGCATGGCACTGTGCCCATAGACATGTGCACACTGCCCCTGCCTACCAGGAAGGTGGCCTTTCCCTTCGGTAAAAGGCCTGGAGTCTCAGTGTGCACACCTTCATCACCTGGCTCTCTGCCATACCCATGGGGAAGATTGCATAGGATGGCCCTAGCCCAGAAATCTGGTACAACCAAGCAAATGTTTTACTGAGTAGAAAAAGCATCGTGCTTCCTGTACAGTGCAGTAGGCATCCACCGGCCAGGCCTTACTTGCCCTACTTGCCTGGCATATGGAGACAGCAGGTCAGGGTTGTCACTGCAGACCCTTTGGAAGCCAGCAGAGCAGAGCTCAGTGGGATGTCTGAATGCAGTTGGAAGGAGACCCAACTGGGAGGAGAAACCTAATCTCCAGCTGTCTAGAAAGTCACTTTGATTTTGCCATTAAGATGTGTAAGTGTCTGCACCAACCTGTTGTTGAAATTGGTTATACTTCTCTCCAAACATATTTGGATTGTAGTTTGTCCTGATTTGAGCCTACACTTAGGGGAAAATTGTTTTTAGGAAAGATTCACAGAAATCTGTCCATTTGGAGGTTGCTTGAGAGAAGACAGGAAAGGAGTTTATTTTAAGCTGTTAAATTTTTTGGATGCTCTTCTTGCATTCAAGACGATTTTTTTTTTTACTTTCAAATGTCATTCTTACCATAGATTAATTTAAAAGCCTAATTTCTTTAAGGTAAAATATTCAGTTCCTATTTAGAATGAACAGATTTGGGGCATTTAAAAATAGTGCCCTTGACTTGTTAGTCTCTTTAACTCCAGGAGCATTCTACCAGTATGTGGTATTCCAGGCTTTCACAAGTACTTGAATTTTCATAGCACCTTTTTATTTTGTCATGTGCTTAGCAAAATTATTCTTAGTCATGACTTAATGCCCACTTCCTGTCCGTCAGCATGCTTCTTCCCAGTTTACAGATGAGCGAACTGAGAAAACGGACATCTAACAGAAGAGGGACTTGCCTACAGTCCACTCACGTGGGTGCTGATGAGTGTTTCTGAATTTGCTCTCATTCTGGGCATCCAGAAATCTGCTCCAAAGACAAAAAAAAAATGACATTCCTGCCTATAGACAGGTGTCTTGGAGGTGCAGGTCTACTCGTAATCGTGGTTCCACAAACACACTAGATAAGCCATCCCCGCAGACAAGAGGTGAGCTCTGCTCTAACTAGGAAAGGTGTCAAGACACAGTGCCTGAATGTACAGGATGGAGATGACTCCTTAAATGATAGTAATGACGCATTGGCAGTATAACCTGCTGTGCACTTGCCCTGGTGGCACACACCTGTGATCCCAGCACTCAGGAGGCAGAGGCAGGCAGACACCTGTGAGTTTAATGCCTGCTTGGTATACAAAATGAGTCCAGGACAGCCAAGACTACACAGAGAAACCCGTCTTGGGGGAAAAAGAAAGGAAGGAAGGAAGGAAGGAAGGAAGGAAGGAAGGAAGGAAGGAAGGAAGGAAGGAAGGAAGGAAGGAAGGAAGAGAAAAAGTAGTTTTTTCGAGATGATACTGTTATCTTGCCACAGAAATGCATGCTGTTTGGTCATGCACTCCCCAACACAATTTACTCTCCGCAATATTCTACCATTTCCATGGAGCTTGTCACCGCTCCTCCATTTCTGAAAGCTTAATGGCAGACAAATTCAGATGATGATAATAAAAGGCATTAAAAATGAATTTGGAACTAGAAAGGGTGCAAGAACCCTAGGTGTTTGACAGAGCAGTTAAACCACCAAACAGGCTGAGTTTTCGCTGAGCCAAGATCTATCTCCCTTCGAGTACTTAAACAGGGTGAATGGAGTCAGTAGAGCAGACGAAGCCCTCCATATGAAAAGCCTGTCCTGACAACTATCAAGCTGTAGCACATCACAGTCATACTCATGTGATAGACGAAACCAGAATTTTTGCTTGCATATTCCTTCCATTTGCCCCCACACACACACCACGAAGGCTCCCGTGGAAGGGGGAAGCGCTTCTCCCTTTGGCGGCCCTCCCTGTGTCTGCTGTAGATCTGCATTAGTTTCTTTTGTTGGAAGCTCACATCCGTGGTCACTTACCTTCCAGTGTTTTTGTGCTGGACTCGTCAGACTGTCTGGCTTTAGTGCCCTTGCCAAGATGCATTAACAGTTTTTATTTATTTTTAATTTAACCTTTACAGATTAGCAAACTGTTGTGTGGGTGGGTTTAAGTTTAGCTGTGTAGGTAGCATGGTGCTGCTGGGGCTGCCTGCTGTCGAGGAGACTGTGGGTTCTTCCTTTCCTGTCTCCTGCCAGCTATCCTCACTCTCTCTCCTTTTCTGTCTGTCTCTCTCTGTCTCTTTCTCTGTCTATCTCTCTCAACTCTTTCCTTCACTCATCCAAGGCCCTGTGATTAAATTTTTAGTACACTTGGATCATTTTGAACTTTTAAGCAATTTCTGAGAGAACAAAACAAAGAGGATTTTTATGGCAAACTCCATTAATGCCACATTAAGGCTGACATTTTAATTACCCCCAAGTCAGGAAATGCAAAGTTCAGGTTCCCACAGCAACAGAAACTGTCCCCTTGAGTGCCGAGTGCAGCATCACAGCAGATTCTTTCATTCCGTGGTTACACAACAGCAGCATGAGGACATTGTTTTTAGCCACGTATATGGAAAGGAGCAGGCTTTATCCTCTGTGTCTGTCCTCTAACTGCAGAGGAGGACATGAGCCTTTAGCACCCCTCCTCAAACCGTCTCTCTGTGTTAGCCTGTAATGGAAGACATGCTCTCCATGTGCACACAGACAGGATTAAAGTTGCTGTGGGGACATTAACTCTGGTTTCCGGACTTCCGTGCCAGTCACATTTAAACCATAATGTTGTAATTTTTGGCATGTAATAAATGTGCATTTCATGTACACAGACAGAAAGAAGCATAAAATGTATTTTAAAGAGCAATTAATTACTAACTTTGTGATTAAAAAACATTTGGTGCATGTTCCTTCCCATTTAGCATCAGCTGCTGGTCTTAGCCAGGCCTAATAGATGACATACTGTGTCCCATCCTGGATCTCAGATGTACTTACTGTATGTTCCTGTTCTTCTAGATAATTAATTCCTTAGTAACGCTGTAGGGGGAAAACAAAATGGAAGGAATATGCAAGCATGTAAATAGGGTAAGGGAGACTTTGAAGGAAATGATTCATTTCTACAAATAAACCTCCGAGTGCCTGATAAAAAGCCAGAAATCTGCTAAGTGGGTGTAGACAAAGGTTTCTGGCCACCTTGGAGCATCTGGTCCTAGGCCTTAAGAACAACTTGAAAGCAGATTCCCCCCCCCCATGAATTCCAGGCTTGCCCAGTAGAGGAGTGACTTTCCTAACTCTTCAGGCTTCAGAATTTAAAGATTATTTTATTCTCTAATGACTGGAGTTTATTTTCAAACTGGGAGTGGGAGGGTTGTAAGGAATTAAGGTAAAAGGCGGGCTTTTTGAAAGAACCCCTCACTTAGCGAATAGTGTTTTCTTCCTCTATATTTTAATCTGGTTGACCCATTTGCGTTAGAGAAGGGCATGTCTCAAAATA